GTTTTGGTTTATGCTCTTGTTTGTTTTCTCGGTATTTTTTATCTCAATCTTGAACTGGTTTTCTTTATTATTTTTCCTTTATCTTTTTTTTTCTTCTTTTTTTTTTTAATGTTACTTTTGATTACATATTGGGCCTGATCGTGCAGTCCTTACTCTTCCAAAACTCTCATGGGGATATAACGAGCATTTTGCCAGAGTAAGGACTGAAGCAAACTGAGCCCACAGCTAGGAAGTACAGATGTGTAACGCAGCTGCAGTTCCATACAACTGCTCTTTCACTCTCAATTCCCTAAAACTCCTTGTAATCTTCTGTAATTATTGAATGACGCTTTCCAGCTTAGCCCTAAAAAAAAAAAAGTTTAAAAAAAAAAAAAAAAAAAAAAAAAAAAAAAGTCGTGTTCTTTACTTCTTGATGGCTTCCCTTAATGTGTTTGCTTTGAGAACAAAATGAATCTATTTCGACTCTTTCATTAATATACATTGTTTGAGTATCAGAACAAATCCCTTTGTTATATAAAACGTATCTCATTGGATTGAATTAATGACACTGTTTCATTTAATGTCTGCTTGATATTCCAGAGTGGTTTACCTTAAACCTAGTAGGTTAGAAGATCAAATAATGGTACATACAAATTAGTGTCATTGTAGCTCCCATTTGAAGCCTCTTGTTTGATTTCACGCTCATGGTTTTTTCATGMTGATAAGTATAGAGGCCAAAGCTCGGGACATTGCTCCTTTTGCTGCTTTGGGAAAACCCTGAGAAATTCAGCAGTCTCCAGAGACAAGGCTCAATTTCTTCCTGAGCATCCCTCACATCTTGTCTTTCGAACGGTTATTTTTCTTTCCCCTGAAATGGCTGAACCAGAACAGCTGAGCTAAGGCTGGGGCTGAGATCAGGAGCCTTTGCATTTTCTCCCTGATTCTGCATTTGGACAAGTTGCACACCCTAAATCCACATCTAAATGAGACTWATGTGCTTGTCCATAATTTGAACTCCACAGATGGAAGGAGCTCTATTAGCAGAAACTCCTATTTTTAACTCATATTACAATGAGTTACTTAAATCTGTTCAGGGCAGTGGAAATAAATGAAATATAAATAAGATCATGAATACAGAGAGSGAACACAGTATTTGCTTTTCATCCAAAGGTAAAGGCAAATACAGAAGAGCACATACACCAAACTCATCTGTGCTTTTCAGCAGAGAAGATGCTCTGCAGAGAACAGAGTAGGCTAAAAATGTGGGAATTGGTCTCAGGCATCACTGAGRGAGAATATGAGGACTAGGTCTCCAGTAAGGAGTGGTTTCTGTGCCAGAGGTTATTCAGCATCCTGTCCTGAGCTGCGGGGATGAGCAGACAGAGGCACAACCTCTTACCTGGGTCAGGTTGAGAATCAAGTGTGGAAAAGAGCTGGTGAAGATCACTCCCTACAACAAACAGGGAGGACTCAATTTCCCAAAGTGGCATAGCAAAGAGAGAACTAAAAAGTGCTGCTTGCTTTCCTCCCCACTTCTCAGGCCACCTTCCCCACCCTCCCCCATGACCTTCAATCTCCCCAGAGCTCTTTCCTACCCTGCTCGAGGTATATGCTGAGTCTCTGCAGAGTGAGTCAAATTCTGATGTTCCTGCAAGAACACATCTTCATCATCAAAGCAGGACGGGCTGTACCCCTGGCACATCCAGCTGGGGACACTTCTGGCCAATGAGATACAGCTGGGGGCTGTTGGCTGATGATTGTGAGACAAKATTTCAGTCTTGTTTCAGGTACCCTGCAATACACAGCAGATAAAACACCTAGTATTGGTAGGCAACCAGCTCCCAAGAGGAGACCAGAAAACACTATTAAAGGTGATGCTATGGCTTAGGTCAGTACCCCTAAAAGTTTGACTTTGCAGAGACACTTTTGGGGTTACTGGACTGGGGAAACTGGGCATGGCAACCAGCAGGGACAACCAGTGACACAAGAGAGACCATGCCTGGTCCTGACCTTTCTCCCAGGGCATCCCCATGCATTACACTRCAAGCTCAAAGAGTGGTCAAGTCTCCAAGTTCAGCCCCTAGTGAACAGGGAGGTCCCTACAAGGCTGTCAGCACACTAGGGGTTCATTTACACTGGAGGCTCACTGACACTGCTGTACAGGGGAATAAAGCACTGCTGTCACCACACTGCTGCCTAAACCAAGTGATGGGTACGTGCCATACTCAGTTCAGGTACGTGCCATACTCAGTTCTCTGGCTGTGGCAGAGACACAGACTAGAACAGAATGGGCTGAAGCACAAATGTAGACATGGTCTGGTTAATACACCCTTCTCTGGGCTGTACAGAAACACCAGCCCTGATTTAGGTGCATGCCTTACAGAGASTCCATGCTTCTCTCCAGAAGGAGTTCATCCATTTGCACTGAAGGTGTTGCAAAGCAAAAATAAATTGCAGCACAAGCCTGTTTCAGCACGGGACTGTGTTGCTGRGGCAGGCAATTATCAACTGAAACATCCCAGTTCACGGCAATGAAAATTAAGAAAGAGGCCAGCTATACTTCAAAGGCTGTAGCTGCCTGTCTGTGTRCACCAGCACAGCAAACACTGTTTACAGAGGTTCAAAAGCCACCAGATGTTTGATGCCGGCTCTTGTCTCTAATTTGTAGCTGCTAAACCACATTACACAAAATTGAAGGGTTTTTTAAAGGTCAAACWTTCATCCTTCACCAATGTGCTCCTTGGTACCACTGTGATTACAGTAAACTGCAATACCATCCACACAAGTAGTTGAAGGCAACATTTGGTACAAGAAGAGTGTATGGTATGTTGTCATTCTTTGTGGAGTCCCATGGAGACACCTCAACCAATAATCACATTTTTGTACCCATAAGAAAATAGGTCATCCCTTCATATCAACATTTTTTGTCACAGCCACTGAGCCAATCCCCCTCTACACACACAAGACAAAACAATTCCTCTTCCCACCTCCATCCCAYCCCCACTCCAGGCAGATATCCAATAGAAAACTTTCTTTCATTAAAGGATTATATGGACTTTGAACAAGGCTGTAGAGCTCTGCCTGTTCTCCCTTTGTATAACAAATATCATAATAACATTTGTAAATGTCCTTGAAAAACAAAGTGAGGACTTCTCCACTTCCAGTATTTCAGTTTCCAACAGCACATTTCTCCCAATCCCAAAAATTACCTGGGGCCARTGACTGTCCCATTGGTCTAGAACCACACAAGGTGTTTGTGGTCCTGGGAATACCTCGCACATCCCAGGGGATTTAGCAGATGGGGAAATTTAGGGGCTTCAATGCAACGCTGTGCAAGCTTGTGCTCTGCACCACTTGGAGAAGGAAGCTGCTGATGCTCTTCCTRGGTAATGCCCCTYGGYAAAGCTCATTTGGCAGGCSTGACYTGTCCWGCCACTCCAGAGAAAATGAAATGGRAAYAGGCTGCAAACTCAAGGCAGCTAACTGTTGAACCTGAAATGTCTTTTGGAATAGCACTACTGTCTACTTGTTGAGGAAATCAGTTTTTAAAATAGGTTTCAATCCCACAGCTTCCCTTTCAATACTGTAAACACCCACAYTGGAGCAAATACACCCCCAAAAAMCACCCMAAAAAAGGTCCCAAATCAGAGCCCCTTGTGTTTCATTTATTAAGGGTATGAGGTCACTCTTGTGTCTCATAGAACCACAGAACTGTTTCAGCTGGAGGAACCTTTAAAGGTCATCTAGTCCAACACCCTCCTGGCAGTGACCAGGGACATGTCCAGCTGGATCAGATTGCTCAGAACCTCATCCCCTTTGCACACTTGCCCTGACCACCTTCAAAGCTTCTGTTATTGCCCACATAACCCGAAACCTTCCCCACGCTGCTGCTGAGGAACCTGTGTAACATCAGCACTGGTAAACACACAACAAATTCTGGTGGAAAGAAACACCCTGGAAGCAATCATCCTCTCACCATGGCATTCATGAGCCATCCTTAATCCTGGGTCTCGATCTGATAARTTCTGAACTTGACATGCACCACCTGAAGCAAGCACAGACTGGGGAAGGCATTTCCTTGCACAGGCCTAGGTAAGCACATGCCCTCCTCCTCTGTAAGCAGCAGCCTTGCAGGGCACAGAGCACTCACATGAGACACAAGAAGAACAGGTTGATTCTTCCCCATCCAGATGGCATTTGCCCTCTGAGACTCCTGTGACACAGAAGACRGCCTGATTAAAAAATGGTAGGTCAKTCCAGGGTGGTATTCACAAGCCCYCTCCTTGATCTGCCTCATCTTGCTTAAAAAGGTGGAAAGAGAAAAGGAATCGAGGAGTGAGTGATTCCATAACCTCTCCTTGGAGACCCAGTCTCCTAATACCACTTCTAAAYACAAAATACATTGTACAGGACACTGACTGCCACCTTGGCACCACCTAGTCTGTTCCTCCTGTTTTTTTCTTGGGGTGTAATCATTGCTGGCTT